GGCCCGCTGCACTTCACTGCCTCTGCAAACCTCTGCGCCACCTGCCTGCCTGCCCAGCGACCTCCAAGGCTCACCCTGCCGCCCAGCCCCAGTTCTGAGGAGGTCCCATCCCAGGCAACCCCACTCAGCCCTGTCCCCAAGAGCTGGCTTTCTGAGGCACAGTTTAATGGGAACCATGACCCAGGAGACCGTAGACACCAACCATGACATCGCCTCCTGCTCCTCCCACGGCGTGGGGGGTTCTTCTCCTCAGAGGAGAGCAGCCTAGAGGCCTAGGACTAGGCTCACCAGGCTCATGTGAGAGGTCAAGTCAGGGTCCAGCTCTGGGCACCCGAGAGAAGAGTGAGGTGGTCTTACCTGGTCACAGGTGTGCAAAGCTGTGAGCAGCATCAAGGCCCCAGTACTAGGCATATACATGTCTCCAAAGTTTGTGTTAATAAGTTTCGATTTCAAAAACCTGGAAGCACAGAGCGGGGTTAAACCACCAGGAAGACACAGACCCCACACACCCGCTTGGTGACGAGTCTCCACCCTGTCAGCCCCAGGGGCCAGATAGCTGCCCGCATGGCCCTCCCTCCCCACAGCCCAGGGGAACGGACTTTGGCTGGAGGAACCAAACACCTTGGTAAGAGAGCGGAGTGAGAAGCTAGAAGGGGTGTCCCGGAGGGGGCTTGTTCCCTTGGTTCTTGCTCCTACACCTCCAGGCAGCCTGACCCCAAGCCCCCGGCAGTACCCATAACCACAAAGTGACCACAATGCCCTGGGCACAGTTGTGTCCTGCCCAGGCCTTGGTCAGGAGACAGAAGTCACGGGAGAGTGGCTGGCCCGTGAACACTGTGTCTGGAGTCCCCGGTGTGAGCGCACAGCCGTCCTAAGTGAGGCCTCAGAGTGGTGACCCTGATCTCTGACCGGAACCGGTGCCCTCCGATGTGAAGTGGGGTGCGGGGCCTCCCTGGGACCTCCTTCTGCTCTGCCAAGCGGTGTCAGCCTCTGGGTCTGCAGCAAGGGTTCCCGGCAGGGACACCACCGCTGTCTGGGGTGCGATGGTTCTCTGGTGGGCTGGCCTGTCGACTGTAGTATCCCTGCCGCCACCACACACGTACACACACACACACACTCTCTCGGGACAACCAAGGGTGGTGCAGACACCTCCACTGCTGTTGCTGTTGTGAGACCCCCCACGTGGGATGGATGCGGTGGAGCTGTTGGGGGCTCCTTGCCAGTCATCCTTATGGAGGCAGAGCGCCAGGCCTTTCTTCCGCAGCCCACGTTTCAGGTGGGTGCTGCAAACCCTTTGTGCCAGTCTCCACCTCCTCCGCTCAGTGCCCTGGGGTCCATTCCAGCTCCTGGAGACTCTACAGCACACAGGTCTGCCCTCTGTGGGTTTCCAGGGCTGTAGTCTTCACGGCGGGGTGTGGGGCGACAGCCTCATCTCTCCCCCAACGAATGATGGTGGGTAAACGGCTGTCCTTGCAGTTAGCAGCCCCGCTGTTTCCCCCTCTGCCACCAGGGCTCTTGTGGGATCTCCCAGGGTATCTCCAGGCAAGGCTACATGACCCTGGGGGGCGAGATCTCTGCCTCTACCCCCAAGAGCCACTGGCTTACAGCAGCTATCTGGCTTCAGGTCAGGAAGGGAAATCCAGCTGATGGGGGAGCCCTGGCTCCTCCCTGAGGGTCCCCTGGGGCTGGTTGTGTTTGGGCCTCTTTTTTTTTTTCTTTCCCCAAAATAGGCACCCAGTTGGTTTTTGACTCAGGGAAACCCCATGTGACAAAGTAGAACTACACCCAAGGGGCTTTCTGGGCCGTCATTGCTACAGGTGTGGATCCCCGCTCTCTCTCCGCTCTCTCTCCCGAGGAGGGACTGGTGGCATCAAACCTCACCCTGGGGTCAGCTGAATGCTTATCCATTGGTCACTGGGGCTGGCACTGCCTGCAATGTCTCGGGCTGCCCGTACTTTTCGGCGACTCTCCCTCTGCATCTTTGTCGATTAACCTCACGTGAGTTTCCCGTCCATTCCCGAAGGGCTCCATCACCCCTGCCAAACCCACCTCCATCCTGCCTGTGCCCACTCTTTGGGACCACACCCGAGGATTCCCAGGCTATAACTCGTTATGGGAGCAGATGCCTCATCTTTCTCCTAAGCAGCAACTGGTGGGTCTGAACTGCAGACCTGGTGGTTAGCTGTCCAAAGTTACCACCAAGGAACCTTAGCTCCATTCCAATCAGAAAACTATTCTAAATTGATGGTGGGGAGGCTTGTCTGGATCTTCTTGATGCTATGGGACTTCTGAATGGTGCGGTATGTGAATTATATGCCAAGGAAACAAACCACACAATTCGCTGCCAGCGAGTGGGCTCCAAGGTGCCCCGTGGAAACCCGTGTAGATGTAGACAGCCTCATCTTGCTCCCGTGGAGCAGCCGGCTGGTGGTGGGTCCCAACTGTTCACAGCCCCGTGCTTAACCACGGCGCCACCAGCTCCATCAGGCAGCACCTAACCCAGCGAGACATCTGACAGGATTCCTGTTACTCGTCACAGGACTGGGCTGGTGGGGTCAGGGTCAGGGGCCTCTGGGAGTGGATTTCAGGGGTGAGCAGGGGCAGTGGGTCCCCCTCCCCCAATACCCACAGTACCTCTCCATCAGGTAGCGGATGAATTCGGGGTGCAGCAGCTTGAAATTGCCCACAGAAGCTTCAGGTCCAAAATAGATCTGAGGCCTAGGACCCACGAAAGAAGTGGACGGTGCGGGTAGAGCCTATGTCGTAGGTGGACAGTGGGGACTGCCCGGAGCGGCGGATGACCCGGCGCGGTCTGGGGTGGGTGTAGAATCGGGAGAAGGGGGTGTAGAAGGTGGGGGGCAGCATGGTGGGGACCACATGAGGCTTCTGGCTCACCAGAACGTCCACCGGCAGCGTGTAGGACAGGGAGGAGGGGGGCGTGAACAGGGCAGGAGGGGTGGGGTAGGAGCAGCTGAGCCGGGGGATGTGGGGGGGAGGGGGGAGCAAGGGAAAGTAAAAAGAGTTAGGGGGAGGGGGAGGCGGAGGGGGTGGGCAGGGGAAGGTGCAGGGGAAGCAGCTGTTTTGGGGGAGTGGCGATGTGGGGGGATGGAAGAAGGGGCCCTCTCTCATGAAGCGGGGTATGTAGGGGGCGATGTAGGAGGGGATGCGCCTCATGGGCCCGATGTAGGAGGCCGAGTTGGCCGGGCTTGGAGACAGCATGGGCAGGAAGGGTACGTTGGGCACAAGGGAGGGGTTCCGAGAGATGGGCTTCAACCCAGACTGAGAAGGTGACTTGGAGGGGGGTGGAGTGGGGCCTTGGGAGGAGCCTCTGGACACATGCTGGATGTGGGGGCTGGGGGCCAAGGAGGGAGCCCGGGAGTTGGGCTGGGAGGCTGAAGGGGTGGGAGGGTGAGAGGGCGGGCGGGAGGAGGAGCCACCCCGGGTGGGGGACGGGGATGGGGATGGGGACTGGGCGAGGCCCCCGGAGCTGGATTGCTGCTGCGCCGGCGGGTTGACGACGCTGTTGGACCTGGACTGGGAGGGGGACTGGGTGGGGGACGGGCCAGGGGTTTGGGAGGGGGAGCTCATTGGTGTTGGGAGGCTTTGGGTCTACCCAGTGGCTTGGGAGGGAGCTCCCCCTAAGAGCCCGGCCGGCTCCCGGGTCACAAAGGCCCCTGTCACAGGGAGCAATTGTTGGGTAAGCGCCAGGCTGGGCGGGGCCCTGGCCCAGCTGTGAGGACCCTCCCAGGTGGTCTTTAGCCAGGAGGTGGGGGGTGGGGGCGAGAACACCGAGCTAGGCAAATTGGAGGGTGGATCAGCTTGGCAGCAGAGGTTCCGGACTTGACCTGGGGCCGGAAATGGTCTCCCCCCACAGGGCGGACCAGTTCTGAGGAGCTGGGTCAGGAAGGTGGGAGAAGACAACTGGTCTTTTGTTCCCAGGGCACCAGGAAGGCTGCTGTCCCCTCTCCCCTTTCACTGGCTTAGACCTGGGAAGCAGCTGGCCGGGCCCAGAGGCACCCACACAAGTCTCTTCTCACAGCGCCCACGGCTGGCTACTGGGGGGCCCGTCGGA